GTGGGCGGGGAGGGCAGGGATATGTGGCTGCTCTCCCCTTGGGGGCGGACTCCGATGCCGGCTGCCTCCCCCCAACAAATCCTCATGCTTTTTCTCCCATTCCAGTTTGGTGTAGGGGTCAAGTGTGCGGACTCTAATCTGGGAGAACCGGGTTTGATTCCCCACTCTTCCACTCGCAGCTGCTGGATGACCTTGGGCAAAGGCCATAGTTCTGGTCAGAGCTGTTCTCTCAAGGACAGTTCTGTCAAGAGCTCTCTCAGCCCCACCTACCTCACACAGGGTGTCTGTTGTGGGGGGAAGGGAAAGGAGTTTGTAAGCTGCTCTGAGACTCCTTTGGGTTGGGAAGGGCCATGGGGTATGAACCCAATCTCTTCTTCACTTCTCTTCTTCTCTCTCCTTGTGGCGCAGAGCATCCCGGTCCCTGGAGCAGGGTCACTCCACAGCCCAGCACGAGAAAGTGCTTTGTGACACTTGGTGTATGGAGGTGAGCCCCTTCTGTTGCCAGGGCTTGTGGGTAACGGGGGGAGGGGTTTCCGTCGGCTGCTGCAGAGCCACGAGGGAAGTGCAAGGTCTCCTGCAGGTCTTCCTGTGTTTGGCCACCTGTGTCTCCGCCTGCGGGGGTAATTCTGCTTCGGTTAAGGGCGCTGCGCAAGAGGGGGATGTGTTTTTCCTGTCGTTTAAGGAGGGAGCAAGTTTCTAGTCCTTAGGGGTGTGGGAACAAGTTCCAAAGCCTGTTGCAGGTCCTTGTCATATAGGGATGAGCAGGGCTTCTTGTGGGAACGGAGGCGGGGGGAGCAGAGGTCCATCAGTGGCCCCTATGAGCCACAAGGTATAGATAGGGGCTCTGGGGCAAGGGATGCTCTGTCTTCTTGGTGCTTGGGGGGGTCAACAGTGGGAGGGCTTCTAATGTCCTGGCCCCACTGGTGGACCTCCTGATGGCACCTGGTATTTTTGGCCACTGTGTGATACAGAGTGTTGGACTGGATGGGCCTTTGGCCTGATCCAACTTTGGCGTCTCTTATGTTCTTATGTTCTCTGCTCTGTGCCACCCCTTTAACCACCACCCCCAGGAAGAAATACGAAGGCAGGGGCCTAGTGAAGCAAATGCACCAGTTGCCCGGCATGTTCATTCGTGGCGTTTTTGGGAGGGGTGTGGACTGTCAGTCCTCCTCCCCCTAGCTTAGTGTAGTGGTTAAGTGTGTGGACTCTAATCTGGGAGGACCGGGTTTGATTCCCTACTCCTCCACTCGCAGCTGCTGGATGACCTTGGGCAAGCCGTAGTTCTGATAAGAGCTGTTCTTGAAAAAGAGCAGTTTCTGCCAGAGCTCTCTCCGCCCCGCCTACCTCCCAGGGGGTCTGTTGTGGGGAGGGGAAGGGAAAGGAGTTTGTCAGCTGCTCTGAGACTCCTTCGGGTAGTGAAGGGCCACGGGGTATAAATCCAATCTCTTCTCTTCTTCTTCCTTCGGGAGCTTTCTTCCTTGTTTGGCTTTCTTGGTTTTCCCTGGTTTGGCAGCTCCCTCTGGAGTACAGCTGGATTCAGGTCCAGTCGCACCGATTGTCATGATTTTGGGGGATAGAAGTTTACTTATTGACTTCATTTATACCCGGCCTTTCCCCCCAGTGGGGGTCAGAGAGGCTTACCTTGTACTGTCCTCTTCTCTGCTGTACCTCCCAACAACCACCCTGTGAGGTAGGCTAGGTGGAGAGTGCGTGACTGGCCCAAGCTCCCCCAGCGAGCTTCCGTGGCAGCGTGGGGGATTCGAACCTAAAAGCTTTCGAGAGTCAGAGCCCCCTTCATGAGATGCCTTCGACTCTCAAAAGCTCCTACCCCGAGAATCTTGACGGTGCCTAAGGAGCTACTGGGGGGGGGGGCAGAGGTTAAGACACTGAAGCTGCAGACCGGAAGGTCTGTAGTTCGGCAGTTCAAGACCCGAGTGCCGCATGACAGAGTGAGCTCCCGTCTCTGGTCCCAGCTCCTGCCAACCTAGCAGTTTGAAAGCAAGAAATTGCAGGTAGATAAATAGGGATCACTTCAGTGGGAAGGGAACAGCGTTCCGTGCACTTCAGCATCTACTCATGCCGGCCACATGACCACGGAAAACGTCTTTGGACAGCGCTGGCTCTTCGGCTTGGAAACGGAGATGAGCCTCCGAATCCCTAGAGTTGGATTCGACTGGCTTTCGAGCAAGGGAAACCTTTAAGGTGCTACAGGGTCCAAGTCTAGCTCTTCTGCTTCAGGCCAAGACGGCGGCCCTCCTGAACCTCCTCCCGGGGTGCCCCTGTAGCTCCTGCTACAACCCGGGGCCCACTTCTCTCCCTTCCCTTCCACAGGCCAGCGACCGGGTCGTTCAGAACCTGACGTCCCTGCGGGCCGACTCCACACGGCAGTTCTTCAAGAACCTCCGGAGCATCTCCAAGGCGGTGGTGGAGAACGAGGGGGTGGTCTCCCCCAACCCCCTGGGCATCTGAAAAGTGCCCGCGGTTCCTGGCAGCCAGGGAGAAGAGCACGCCGCGCATGTAACGAAAGGATTAGGGCCTGTTCGTGGGTGGGAGGAGGGCGCACTCTTCCCTCTCTCTCCCCCACCCCCTTCCGAAGAGGGCTAGCAGCACCTTTGGAGAATATACCTCTTTGCTCTGTTAAATGCCTTAATGCACACCTCGGGGGGGGGGGACGTTGAAAGCCCTTGTTTGCAGCACCCCACCGGCCCGTCGTGCGGGGGAACGTCCTCATCTCTAGACCTGGCGCATCTTGAACTCGGCGTTTTGCAGCTGGAATTGGCAAGACTGTTCCGTCACTTCAAGTTTAATGGCGACTTGGGGCGGAATCCTTCCAGCGGTATTAACTGCAGGGGGCTCCTCAGCCCCCCCCCCACGCCTCGCTTGGTCCTGTGACATCCCACAAAGCCGTTTGGGTTGCAACGTTTAGCCTCTTAATCAGTAGCGTGTGCTTCGGTACTGAGGATGGTATTTTCTGTGCATAATTAAATTAAATTACTTTGGCAAACGTCTGGAGTGGTGGGGTGCCAGTAAAGGTGGGGGGGTCTGTCTGGAAAATGTTGATTAGAACTCACCACCGCCACCCACTAAACCACTATGTGCAGCCCGCACACTTATGTAATTGATTTGTTCATTCAGGCCCTGCCTTTCTCCCCAGTGGAGGCCCAAAGCGGCTGACATCCTTCTCCTCTCCTCTATTTTATCCTCACAACAACCCTGTGAGGTAGGCTGGGCCAAGAACGTATGGCTGGGCCAGTGTCACCCAGCAAGCATCCATGGCGGAGTGGGGATTCGAACCTGGGTCTCCCAGATGCTAGTCCGACACTTAACCGCTAGACCACGCTGGCTCCCAAAGTTGTGTGATGTGATTTGGAGTTATGTAATCTGTAGAATCACAGAATCCTAGAGTTGGAAGGGGCCCTACAGACCATCTAGTCCAACCCCCCTGCCCAGTGCAGGACCAGCCTAAAGCTTCCCTGACAAATATTCCTCCAGCCTCTTCTTGAAAGCTGCCCAGTGAAGGGGAGCTCACCACCTCCCTAGGCAGTTGATTCCATCTTTGGACCACTCTGACCGTGAAAAAGTGTTTCCTAATATCCAGCCGGTACCTTCCTGCATGTAATCTAAACTCGTTGCTTTGGGTCCTGTTCTCTGCCGCCAACTGGAATAGCTCCTTGCCCTCCTCCCAATGACAGCCTTTCAGATATTTACAGAGAGCAATCATGTCCCCCCTCAATCTCCTCTTCTCCAGACTAAACGTTCCCAGGGCCCTCAGCCTTTCCTCGTAGGGCTCAGTCTCCAGACCCCCGATCATCCTCATCGCTCTCCTCTGCACCCTCTCAGTTTTGCCCACCTCCTTTTTGAAGTGAGGCCTCCAGAACTGCACACGGTACTCCAGGTGCGTCCTGACCAAGCCAGTCTACAGAGGGGCCGTGACCTGCGATTTCGATGCCGTGGCCCTTTTAATACACCCCAAGACTGAATTTGCCTTTTTTGCCGCTGCATCACACTGACCTCATATTCCGTTTACCGTCCACCCTTACCCCAAGATCTCTTCCGCAGACGCTACTCCCCAGAAACGTATCCCCCATCCAGCATTTGTGCTTGACGTTTTTGTGGCCCGGATGTAATACTGTGCATTTAATGCCCCGACTTGGATGGCCCAGGCTGGTGAGTACTTAGGTGGGAGACCATCAAGATAATCCAGGGTTGCTACGCAGAGGCAGGCGACGGCCAGCCACCAATCTCTGCCTTTAGCTCCGTCCCGGATGGCCCAGGCTGGCCCAGTCTTGGAAGCGAAGCAGGGTCGGCCTTGGTCAGTATTTGGACGGGAGACCACCAAGGTAGTCCAGGGTCGCCACGCAGAGGCAGGCGACGGCCAGCCACCTCTGAACGTCTGCCCTGAGTCCTGGATAACCCAGGCTAGCCCGATCTCATCAGATCTCAGAAGATAAGCACAGGCTGCGGTCACACGGAGCATTAGCCACGCTACAGAGACGGAAGATAGGCGGATTTTCCGGGCGCAATCACACCACAATATCTGGGAAGCGTAGAGCTCCCATGGCTAACCCGAGGCTTCCTGCCAAAGATGCGGTGTAAAAAACTAGTACCTCCAAGGTACTAGTTTCCGGCACCCGTTAAGGGCGGGCATCTGATTGCGTTTCCGGTGGACTTACGTGGCATCCTGCGCCCGTCTCCGCAGGTTGTGCAACAGCGCATGTGCACAAAGAGCGATTGCTAGTGCGATCATGTGGAGCGGCTTTTGTGCCGTGCTGCAGGATACCTGTCTGGTCAGCATCTCCCCCCTAACCACGGGACCTCGACCGGGACGTGTGCTCGGGCGGCTGCGCATTAGTTTCCTCCGGGCCAATTAGCCACGCCTCCCCCCCGCGATATCCGGCCTGTGTGACCGGGGCCACAATTGGCCCTGGTTAGTACTTTGGCCACCCAATGAGAAGGGAGACCTCACTGGAGAAGACCCGGATGCTGGGAAAGACCGAAGGTCAAAGAAGGAGGCGACGGCAGAGGATGAGATGGCTAGACAGTGTTATCGAGGCAACGAGCATGTCGCTGAGCAAACTCCAGAGCACGACGGAAGACAGGAGGACCTGGCGTGATGTGGTCCATCATGGGGTCGCGAAGAGTCGGACTCGATTGTGCGACTGAACAACAACAGTACTTGGACAGGAGACCGCCGAGGCAGTCAAGGGTTGCTACGCAGAGGCAGGCGATGGCAAACCACCTTCTTTGTTCATCTCGGGCCTTGAAAACCCTCTGGGGCGTTGCCCTAAGTCAGCTGTGACGTGATGGCCCTTTACACCGGAGGACATTTCTTTCACAGTGCAGCTTTCCACTCTGCGTTGTGATGGGGGGGGGAAGTAACGCCCCCGGGGAATTTCTGTAGCACACAGCGGGACTTGCATAGGAGAGGGAAACCCCACAGAAATCCCCCCCCCGTAACTACCAGTCCCACAGCATATGCCTCCCCTGCCATCCCAGGTTTATCTCACCTACTTTACCTACTTCATTTATGGTCTGCCTTTCTCGGTGAAACTCAAGGCAGGTGACAAATATTGTAGTGCCGAGAGTATAATACATACAGCCAACGATTATTCCATTGTGATCGTAACCAGAATGAGAGCACATCGCTCCAAAACCACAAGTAGAAGAAGAAGAGGACATTGGATTTATACCCTGCCCTTCACTCGGAGTCTCAGAGCAGCTGACAAACTCCTTTCCCTTCCCCTCCCCACAACAGACACCCTTTGAGGTAGGCAGGGCTGAGAGAGCTCTTTCCAGAACTGCCCTTTCAAGGACAGCTCTGACAGAACTATGGCTTGCCCAAGGTCACCCAGCAGCTGCAAGTGGAGGAGTGGGGAATCAAACCCGGTTCTCCCAGATTAGAGTCCGCGCACTCAGGGGTCATTTCCTGCAGGAGCGCACAGGAGGAGAGCTCCGGCAGTAAGGAGCCCAGGGGGTGGGCACATGCAACAAGCCCCGCCCCCTGCTCCCAGCAGCCCTCAATCAGAGCAAGAAGCAGCCAGGTAAGTTGCAGAGGCCCCCGGTCCAAAACAGTCCAGTGGCACCTTTAAGACCAAGTTTTATTCAGGTACAAGCTCTCCCTCCTCTGCAAGGACAGATCTGCATGTTCCCCACCACCACCACCACCACCACCAATAGCTAGCAATCCAAAACAGTCCAGTGGAGCCTGAGCCGTGAGTGTTGCCTTCTGACACTTCTGGTGATGTCAGGGGGTGTGGCATATGCAAATAAGTTATGCTAATGACTTCCTGCACCTCTTTTTCTACAGAATGACCCCTGTGCGCGCTTAACCACTACACCAAACTTGCTCTCTAAGATGGATACTAAAGCAGGAGTTACAAGGCTGGCGTAACCCATTACACACAACAAACAGTGCAATAACATGGATTACAGAATTAGAAGGCGATGGCGATACATACAGCATAAGACAGCTTTAAGTTTCTCTGACCGCGACTTTAACCTCTGCAGAAATTTAGATGACAGTTTCTCAGACCCTCAAGTCTGAAATTATTTGTATGTTTTTAAAGGAATGAGAATACCGGTGGAACACTCTTGGGTAGGGAGGCGGACAGAAGCCAGTTCACCTTATACATTTGCAAGCTGTCCTTCATTCTCTTCGACAGATTATTTTCACTGTTCCCAGTTACAGATACTGTCAGACAGAACGAGTATTTTTTTTTTAATTAAAGACTAGGTGTGAGAGTGTGGAATTCAGCAAGCTGCCGCATAATTCATTAACCATATTCACGGATTCGGTTTTCTAGAAGCCCTCCTCGAAGCTGAATTTTTCAGAAGTGCAAAAAAATCGACCACCTGGATATCTGGAAAAGGGGAGATTTTGCCCGCATGTCCCATCGGGGCGAACCCTTTGGCTTGGTTTCCAAAGTGCCCTGCGGCGACACTACATTTCCCACAATGCTGGGCAGGGAGGGGTAAGGTTTTCAATCTGTCCGGCAAATCTTTTAAGCCGGCAGCTGTTTGGAAGGGAGATTAGGAGATTAAGGTTGTTCAAACTGCTTGCGAGATGCCCGTCAAAAGGCAAGGTAAGCGGGCTCCCTCTTTTTCTCCTCCGGCAGCCGTCCCTCCCTCGCAAGTGACACACTTTGGGGGCGGTCATTTGAGTTGGGGGCCTTGTGCCCCTTCCCGGGGGGTAGCCTGCCTTCCCTGATCCCAAGCGTAGGCGTCGGGCCTTTTCGTTCAGCCAAACGAAGTGGGGTGAGCGGGTGATCCAGGGATGTGTCCTCGAGATAAGATGGCTCCGTAGCCCCGGAACACTCTTGTGTTTGTAGGAGTAGCCTTAAAGCCGGCCTCTCTTCACCCCACTGTTGTACTGTGCCAGACTTGCTGATGTTGTGGGGGATTTTAACACACTCCTGTTGTGGAGAGGTCCAGAGGGCAGCCATGTTAGTCCCCAGTAGCACAGCTCCGTTCGAGTCCGGTAGCGCCTGAGAGACCAAGGAGGGTTTCGGAGTGTCAGCTGTCGGGAGTCAAAGAGAACTTTGGTCTCTGAGGTGCTACTGGACTCCAACGGAGCTCTACTTTTGCTGAGAGGATGGATGGAAGAGGACAGGCTGTTGACGCTGGATGGAGCTGACCTTGCCTGCCTGGAGCTCAGGCTTGGATCTGTATGTTTGCTGGGATGCTCCAGGTGTGGAGGGAACAGAATCATGGAATGTTAAGAGTTGGAAGAAGGGACCTTGCAGGTCATCTAGTCCAACCTCCTGCACTCTGCAGGAGCATAGCCGAAAGGCAGCCCAACAACATACCCGGAAGAGGGTCGTCCAGCCTCCCCTTGGAAACGTCCAGCAAAGGAGCATCCTCCACCTCCCGAGGCGGTCTGTTGCACTGCTCAACCACTCTTAACAGTTAGGAAGTCTCTCCTGATATTTAGCCAG